AGCAGCTACTAAACTGTATGGACCACACATTATATATATGTTGTCTATATGTGCACAAACAGTGCATTATCTAACGGGTGTGCAGCCTGATTTTGATGAACCAGCTGTTGCAGGACCTATCCTTGTATGCTCCTGCATGCGACGATGCTCTGGATGTGAATAAGAATATCCTTTAAAAACACAACTTTTAATGCCAATCTGAAGGAGAGGGCAAAGATTCTAGATAAAAAGATAATGGCAATGGCAATACAATACCTAAAAAGAGAGAACAAACTCAAGTTATATAGGCGTAGGAAAATGCACACACACAAAACCTCAGGGAGGGTCAGTTCAACTGTGTTTGGACACCCTAGAGTGGCAAGAGCAAGTACACAGGCCAAGGATTTGAGTTTCACCACAACAGAAGGCTCAGTCTCATGAAGGGAGAACAGTCTTCTTATCCAGGAAGGAATTGGTCTGAAAGGAATTAGTTTACAAGCATAGTCAACTTGTTAAAATCCCACAGCTTTCATCATATCTGGGATTTTGCAGAAATAGCACCTGTAGTTTCTGTTGGCGAAGCTTGTAAGAAAGTGAGTATGGATTTGCAAGACTGGATGAGCTAGTTTGACAATTAAATATAATACATTCAAGAACAAAGGCAAATATGCATGTTGGTGGCAGTGCAGTTATGGATGGGAGGGGAGCAATTTTATACTGGTATTCTCTAATCACTCAGATCTATCCTCTTTTCATAGCTGTTGTTTTCAATTTTATTTAGTTCAGGGCATATCTTTTTCTCTTGAGTATCTGAAAATGCTCAACATTATTATATTTTGCTCTGAATTTTCCCTTTTTTCCCCCCTTGACTTCCCAGTCTTCTTTTGTTGGTCTTGTTCTCATCTCTTTTTATGTGTGTCTGCAGGTGGCTTTTAAAGCAAAATCTCATTCTGCTTTCCTGCTCTTCCCCCATCCTCTCCTGTTTTGTTGCTGCATCGCCCATCTCATTTGTTCTTTTCCTTATGCCTGTAACTGCTCATTTACTAACAGATTCCATTCTGTGACTATAGTTTTTTCATTTTCCCTGTCTTCAAGCACCGAATCATTGACTTAATTGCTACAGAAAGGAATGAATCCCCAGGCCACTTTACAGAACAGGTTTTACTCCCCCATGGCTGAAAAGGAGCAGGATACTGGCTGAGCTTAAGGGATGCTGATGGCAAGCTGCTGGCTCTCAAACAGTGAACAAGCTTATTGTTACTAGCAGCCTACTAGCATCCCTTCCTCTAACCCTGAATATTACCCATAACCTGGCAGCTTCTTGACAAGAATAATCAAATTAGGGAAACAGCAAAATCTATTCTATAAACAATGCAGAAAGTAGTTTTGGGGTTTTTGCCTTGTCTTACCACATTCATACATGTCACCATGGTGTGTCAGGTGTTTCCACACTGGGTTCTTATTTATATTTAATAATTGCTGAGATGCCCATTCCTTGACTTCTGAATGAAGTGCATAAATTAGATATGACACCATCGTAATTGGATAGCACGTGGCATAACTACAGCAACCAATTACATTATTGTTTTCACCACGATTCACACCAAAGCAACTCCAAAATTTACAATCAGAGAGGGGGTGGAAACACTCCAAAAAAAGTATTTTCACTTGAAAAATGCAGTAAGCTGTTAGTTGTGAAATCTGGATACAAGTTTCAATTGCACAGGCTGAAATATAGGTCAAGACAATAAACAGATAATGTAATGATCAGCCTTCGTCAACTACTGGGACTGTAACCAGAAGCCAATCCCTTAGCCATTTCCAAAGGCTTATTGTTGGTGGCTGGGATGTAAAACCCACTTTCTCTAGCTATAAACTGATTTTGGTACAGTTTCCTCACAGTTCTTATTTTCTGCTCCATTTGCCTCCCACAAGCTTTTCTATACCTAGACCTCTTAAGGGGATAACAGTCAAAAGCACTCTTCAGCATTCGAAGACCTTTTTTGCTTTTCTTTTTTCCTGTATGTCTCATTTTCTGCCCAGCAGACATCCAGCTTTTGTGTGTTGAGCTCCAGCATGTTTTTTCAAACTCTTCCTTTTGGGCTGACAGTAGGAAGACAGAGAGCAAACCACCAACACTATGTCCAGAATGACTCCTCAAAGTCTTGGGAGGTTAGAAAGCAGCCTGGCATCATATTTCCTTGCTTCAGCAGAAAATAAGATAGGTTGTGAAAATTGCAGGTTTTTTACAATATCACCATTGCTAATCAGACCTGACTATTCATGCTAGAAGCAGCACAAACAGTTTTTTGACTCTTTGTGATGCTCATATCCTCCATCTTTTAAAAATAAATACATAAATTGGTAGTGTCACAGTGCAGCTGGTTATATGAAATATTGTGCTGGACAATGTCCCAGTGTCAGGTTGCCAAGAGAAATCTATCAGCACAGCCACAGCTTTCAGGTTAAAGTTGTCTCCATTCAGTGAAGCCAGCTATTTGCAAATACTAATCACAGAATATCTGGTTTATAAGTATAAAGGATTTAACTTGGCGCTAGAGGTCAGTGATAAAGTTGGTAGGGATTCTTCTGGCTAAACTTTCTTCCAATTGAAACCAATCCCTTGTATCCAAAATTATTTTTGAATAATCAAATAGATTATAATTTGCTTCCCCAAATTTAACACTTACTAATTTTTTCCATTTCAGGAAAAAAAGTCAAGACCTCAAATTGAAAAATCTCCACTTTCACATTGAGATCTTGTGAAGTGGTTGTAGTCAAATTTCTTTATTTCTCTACTCAGTATTGCTGAGACTGATGCAGCGTTTACAAGCACAAGACAATCGTGCAGAAGCCGATACCTTTTTTAGTTATAAGTGCAGATTGCCACCAAGCAGGCATGCAAGTCCTGTTTAAAACCTCCCAGTTGCTCACAGCTAAGCCTAGGCTTCCACCAGTGGCTGGACTTATATCCCCATTACCATGCCTGTGCAGAATTTGCATTACACCATTGTTACTTCAATTACAAACATTTCCTAAATAGTATCCAAATACAGGTGAATTTACCCACCAACATTACACTAACTATGTGTGAAGAAAACAACAGAAGTGCCCCATTTGCTCACTTTTTTCTAGAAACCCATAAGGATAAGATAAAGCATCAGATCCCACACGGTTTACTGAGCCTGCAAACAAACGCAACATTCACCAGTTATGGCCAGTTAGACTAAAATTTAGTATGATTCAGATTTAGACAAATATATATATCAAGCTGAGATTTTCCTTTTAGGCCCTAGGAGTCCATTCCAATGGGAGTCTTTATAAATAGGAATCTTTCTTCAATACAGTTCAATGCACTTTGCCAGAGTTTGGCCTTTTGCTGAATTTACTTTGTGCGAATGGCCAACCGAATGAGCAATGTGAACTGTATCTTCTATGTGATGACTTAGTCTTGTGTAAGCACCTGGGTATGAGCGAGGGGCACCGTGCAGTCAGTGCGGCACTGAAAGAATGACTGCCATTAATTTGCTTGAAATTCCTAATTCAGGAGAGTTCTGCACTTTTAACAAGCAAAGATAAGTCAAAGATGATCTGGAAACAGAAAACATATTTCTTTACATCTTCATAAACACTCAAAGAACCAAACTCCAGCAACATTAGTAACCTAGTAACAACATAGTCTGCCACCAAACACCTGGACGAAAACCAGTACACATAATTAATTTTCCCCAGTACATTTCCAGGGTAACTTTCTTTGCTACATTTAAAGAGATGACTGAGTAACATCAACAGGTCTAAGTAAAAGACACAGGTAGAAAAACAGTCCTGGTTAACCATATCTTATTTACATTGTTTTTGCAAGTCTCCACAGCTGTAAGTCACTTTGGCAGTGAGTGTAGAAATACTTTCACAACGCTTTCATCACATCATGATATTTTGACAGACTGAATGATAAGAATTGCCCCAAGGGAACTCTGTAGTAGTAGCATCTACAAAGTGCTGATTCAGATCTATTCAGAAAAAAAATTCACGAATGTAGTGGTAAAAGGTTGACACCTTCCATATATTAAAGGTCCCACCCATGCTGGTACCTTTAGAGCTGCCCTGTCACCGAATTATGGTTGTGCTAGCATTCCTCCTCAAAAGTGCACTTGTAGATACAACCATAAAAGAGAGTGAAGCATACAATTCTGACCAAACTTTTCAGAAATTGGAATCAAACATTAAAAATAACTAATAAATTATGGTGTATCTTAGAAAGAAAAGTGTCTAGGCTGTATTCTCTACCATAAATCAACTACAGAATGGATGTGGGGTGAGTGCTGGTATAGAACTGTACCTAAGCAGTAATTAACTCCTGCTTTTAGGGATGTCTGCTACAGAAAATGTCATCCTGGTAACATACTGTGATAGGTACTGTCAGGAAAAAGGAGAAAACACAAGGACAAAGTATGAGCTTTGAAGAAATTACCTAATGATAGTCACAAGCCAAAATTGCATATTTTGCACTGTGGGGCATGTCTACAGAACACAACATAATGCTGTGCAAATAACCAAGCTGCTTCTGGTATTAACAGCAGTGTAACTGCATATATGCAGCAGCCTGCCTGAGCCAACTGAAATTAGCCTAGCTATTTAATTGCACAGACAGAGTGATACTACTGTCCTGTATTCAAGCTACCTTGGAATAAACTTCAAGTTTTAGCTTGTATCCTAATGCTGCAGGAAATTCAGACTTTGTGTTGGTGTTGAATTGTTTTGAAAACCTATTTTTTAGTTCAAAGATCTTTTTTTCTACAAAAGTGAGCATGTATTCCTTCAATCATTCGTCAGCCTTTAATCATTGCATTAACTGTTTGAAGTACAGGTTTGCTGTACTCAAGCTCCCACTTCATAGTAAATAGTGTTTTGTTGCATTAAATCTCATGACATACCCTGTCTAATCTGTACTGGGTAACGATGTTAAAGCCTTAAGACCGATTTATTTTTTTCTTAATGCTCGTCGATTTTCTTTAATACAGATCCACCACAGATGAATAACGTCATGCCAACATCTCCCCTCCTTCCTCAGATGGCGCATCAACACTCATATCCTAGCCTGGGACAGATCACAAACCCATATGAGCAACAGCCCCCAGGCAAAGAGCTTAACAAGTACGCCTCTCTGAAGGCAGTCGGTAAGTAAGCAACACGATGCATGACTTCTCCTTTAGATCACTAGGCTGCATTTGCTGTTGTCAGCTGACATTCTGCTTCAAAGTTAAAAACAAAGTCTTGCTCATCTGGACTAGTTCATGATAGAATTTCAAATAGAATATCATGTTAGTTGTAAATGTATTAAAATTAACAGGGGGACTACAATTAGTGATAAGAAAATTACGTGTAAGAATTGGTGATCATAAGCATATGTGTCTATATATGCACACAAAAAACACATCACGCCTACTCTACGTCATTTTTCAGTGAGTTTCACCTGTTGTATGCATAGTGTTTAGCTCTAGTTCTTGATGCCCTGAATATGCCTACCTATACATTTCAGTATGTATTTTCCATACCTGTCTGCACAAGTGAGAGAGAAAAACATCACATACATTGCAACTTTAAAGCATGTAATTTAGACACCTGCTAAATACTTCCAAAAAGAGAAGATGCTTGTATGCTTCTGAAGTAAAAGCTTTCACATTTTCTGCAGGATGTGCATTAGTAGGTCACTGAAGGAATATTCTGAGGCCTTATGATTTCAAACAATCAATGCATCATAAAGCTCCTAATAAAGATCCTGGTGGTGGCTATTTTCTGTGACTGATTAACATCATACACCATTATTATAAGCAAATGGGCGAACATCCTCAAAGAAAGAGTTGTGGGGAGGGAAAGGACAATAGTGGGTAAAGATTGCAACATAATTTTCATATTGGAAGCATAAGTTGATAATAGTTTTAAGGGGCTGTAAACACCTGCTGCACACCATGTGAAGACAGAAAGCCTTTATCACCTTTCACTTCAGACCCCTTCTATACAATAGTAAGTTAAGAACTGGGGGGAATCTACTCATAAACTGCTTCTCACTAACCCTTGCTCTGCTTACACATACGGATGTTAACATCATTTCCCCAGGAATTTAGAGCAGTATCACACTGTCTATTTCCAGACAGAGCTATGTGGCTCAGAAAACCAGCAGAATAGCTGAGAATATTCTGATTTAAGAATCTAGTATTCATCACACCAGAAAAATTTTTATCACAAACTGACATTCCTTTATCCAAACTTCAGGATAGCAGACCTCTAAAAATGTACATCAAGGCCCCATCTCAAATAGTTTAGCTTTGCTTTAGCTTGCCATTTTTGTTTCTCAAAAGTAGCATTTTTTAATCTGTTTTTAAAAGACAAAGGTTAACAGCTCCCTGCTGAATTTTGAATATAGACAGAGTAGCTTTACACTTCCTTCTTCAAAAGGTGATACAGTGTAATGATGTGGTGATTATCACAGATTTATGCACTGATATCAGGCTTCTTTTTCAGATGTCAGTTTAAGTTAAGACAATCATCAAAGCTAAAAGATACTTAGGCATAATAAAACAAGAGATAAACACTCAAAAGAAACTTCTTTCATCTGCCCAAGAGCCCCTGAATGCTCTTTTTAAAAAAAAAAAAATTAAATTAGTACTTAGATATTTCTCAGGTGTCTGAGTACAAGTTTTTAAAGCAGCTAGATTATAACCATACAGTTAAATCAACCTTGAAAGATTGTGCACTTCAGCTCCAGAAGTTGTATAAAGCCTCTCAGAATCTTAAACAAAATTAAATATAACTTTCAGGGACATCTTCCAGGAGGATTGCACCATCTTCCTGTGCTTTTCCCCTATCTTTCCTATCCCCTCTCTCTTTTTTTCCCCCTGTATATCTACTGGTCTTGGACTACATGATCCAAGTTTTAGATTCAGGTGAATTTTCACAAGAGAAGTACAAAAGTGATGCATTGTTATCCAAACTTTTCAGCAGAAAACAACAGAGATTTTGTAGCCATTGTACATTCACACCTTCTGTCTGGACATACGGAGTGACAGTTAAACGTGCTCAGTTTTTAACCACTTTCAGACTCTCAGGGCCATGATTCCTTCCAAGAGACACCTCTTGAGTACATCCTAAGATGACATAGTAGTTTTTTCATGATGTCAGCCAGGCCTGGGTTTGTGCCCACGCTGACATCAAGCTAGGCAGACCGTGCACTGCAGTTCGTATTGGCTTTATGAGAGCTCTGAGAGGAGATAGCAAGAGACCTACATCAGGCCTACCAATACAAATGTAACCTGACAACATCTGTTGAACAAAGAGACGTAGACTGAGTTCACCCTGACCTGGTATTCTATTCATGTGACAGAGCAATGGCATTTTTTATAGGCTAACATTCAAGAGTCCCGTTTACTGATGCCCATTAGCAGGTTAATGAGTGTAGTCCATTTCCCTTTGCATGCATTGATAGTGGCTTGAGGGTGGATGCATTTGCCACAACAGAAATTTAATAAGGGCTCTGTTCTATATTCTCCATGCATTTGAAGCAAACCATATTCATTTAAGTGCCTCTTACTACACATGATCCTATTGTTTGGGTATAGTTCACTGTGCTTAATTATTTTCTTTAATGGGGGCGGGGATGGAGGAAGAAGCATTGCTATTGCTTTGTAGCAAATGTAGCTATAGTACATTAATATCGCTCATCATAATGGGGCCGTAAGTGGCAAGAAGTTTAGATAACTGAAAAAGTGATGCTTTACCAGAGGCAGTATTAAATTAATTTCCACACAGCTGCTTTATTCTGAACTACAGATGTCCTAAAAATTTGGCTATCTAATTTTAGAAGTGAGCTACTCATCCCTCAGTTACTGGCTGCTGTGAAAATTCAGTTCATGGAAAAGCAGCGAATCACAGTAAGCTCTGTTCTGGGTTGTGCTCTGCATTAAATTCAGTACCTAAGACTCAAGTGCTTGTGAAAACAAGAGACAACAGTGTCATTGCCATTAATTTGCATTGTGTTACTGAATGGGAATGACCAACAACCTGTCAGTGAAGCCAAGCTGATCCCTAGAAAGCTATTTTAAAGCTACACACTAGAATCCAAATCATATAGCTCAGAAGAGAGCAATTTGAAGTTGGACTCTTCATGCATGTGCGCAATGCAACGTGTGCACTGCACAGGGTCTGATTTGGCAAAACAGGGGAGAAGAGAGTTGAAAAGGCCAATGTGGATGTATTTTACTTAAACTGTAAAATATTTTTATGTGAACTAGTTCAAGCTGCACAACCAAACCCTTACACACCCAATGGAAGAGGGTATTTTTCTCATTTCTTGTTAGGAACTTCTTTATTTGTTGCAGCCTCCAGAATTCCTTAAGTACTGACCAGCAGCTACTGACCAAATTCACCTTTTCCTCTGCTGGTATTTACATCTTTGAGTAACACAAGGACATTCTGTGCCTAGCTTATATTCTCAGATGAGTACTTGGAGTACAAGGTAATAGTGAGTTGAGACTGACTTACCATTTTCCTCAATGAACCAGAATTTTACTCTCCTTCTATCTTAACACATACACCACCAGGGAATAATTGGCAGAAGGCAAAGGACCCCTTGGAAACGAGACAGAGCACCATGCGTTTCCGGAAAGAACAGATAAGCAATCCATCTCCTAGCATCTCTAGCCTATCTTGCCTGACTGATGGGTGCACTGTTCATCCATTATTTGTCCATTTTTGAGCTAAAGAATCTTTTTTCAACAGGGCTAAATTTGTCCCACCAAGGAATGTCAGAGACTGTATTTGAGGGAAAAGGGTTAACAAGCTCTAAGACCAGTCCCACCAAAAGTGGTCACTGAACGTTGTGTGGCAATATAACACCCAGTGTTTAGATTTTTCAATTTTTTGGTCACCTGAGACGACATGATCTTGGTTTCCTTCAGTGCTTTTGCAGTATTTGATTATTTATGTGAAAAGTGCAGAAAGAGGTTTTTCTGCATAAATTATTCTTATTTCCAGTTCATCAACCATGTTTTTACTCCATGCTTAAATGGTTATTGCTCATTTAAGCAATGCTGACATGCCTAAAGCTACAAGTGGATGAAGATCTTGTATCTGAACACCTTCATGAAATACAAGTCTCAGGACACGACGAGGTAGCTCATCACAAATTTTTATACACATCATTTAGACACTCATTCAGAAAGCATGAACAACCCAACTTAAAATTCCACTCTGCTAAGCTGTAAGAGTTGGAGTCCATCCTGTTGCTTAATAAGAGTTTCCTAGTGCTTAAATTGGCCACATTATTCTGACGTATTAGTTATATTTATTCATCACTCACATTGTTCTGTGAACCTGACTCAGCAACAGTTAGTTTTGTTTCCTGAGTTTCAGGGAGTGCAAAGTGATTAACTTTCTTTAGAACTTCTTTCAAAAAGTTAAATAACACCCCAAGCCCCACTTTCCAAAGCCCTGCAGGACTGTGAGAAAGATCACTCAGCTGCTGGAGAGGTGCGCAGACATACATGTAAAAACTGAGAATACAAGTATTTCTACAGTTTAACATGATTTTATATTTCTTTCATAAACTTTCTACTTCCCTTCTCTCACACACACATGCACACGCTCACAAACCTTTGAGGAACCGACTGAGTGTGACTTAAGACGAGATAACTCAGCTAGTTAAAATTTTGGAAAAAAAAAAAAAAAAGATTTACAATGGACAGAATTCCTCCCTGCAACTTAGACCCAGAAAGCCTTCAGTGATGCTGGGAGTTGTATTTTCCTGTGGAATTAAATCAGATCAAATTGATTTGATATAGTGAAACTAGAATGAGGATATAATTGGCAGCAGACTCACCAACACATCTCTGTTTACAGCTCCCAGCATTCTTTGAAGCTTCAGTTCTTTGATCCCAAAGGAAACATTAGACAGTGCTCTAGCTCTGCTTGCAGCTGCAAAACTCCAAAGTGAGATTCTGCAAACATGACACTCAAAGAATAGTTATCTCCCCTTTAGGTCACTGTTACTATGTAGAAAATATTGTGGCTGCACCAACACACAATGCAACATCTCCCTCAAAAAGGTGAAGCATGTGAGTAAACTGTCCAATTTATTTGTCCTTTACATCTACACACACAGAAGGATCCAAACGGGAAGCCA